ATACGATAGCTGTTTCTTTTCCTGGGTGAGAAGAGTTGGTGGTCTCGGTCTGTTCGTTGCTGGCGGATATCTGCATCACAAAAACCAGCGGCACATCGCTCATTCTCACCAGCTGGCTGCATCGAAAAGCCAAGGTCACATCTGGGGAAAGGGCAGGGCCAGCTGAGCAACAGGCTGAAGCATGCTGTGGGGACAACCCCGAGCAGAGACACTGCCATGCTCAGCTGTGACATGAGCAGGGACCGCCTGCTGTCAGCTCGACCTTGCACAAGGGACCAACATCTGACTGCACATGGAGCTGGATAATTAGCAAAGCCCCCAGGTAACCCACTCGCTTTCATGGATTCTATCATTCTCTGAGTGTTTGGGGTTTTTTCATTATTTGCTTTGATGACAGTAAAGCTACTTCTGGGCAATAACATTTGGGTTTTTATTGTTATTATTTGCAGCATGACAGTGCCTGCAGGTCATAGCCAGGACTGGGGCTTTAATAGATGCTTACAAACTACTACTAAGAGACAGTTCCCTCCTTGATGAACACATCACTGAAATGGAAAAGCCTCACATTGGCGAGAGAAGTGAGATACTGTTATCCTTCTCAGCACAGGAAGACAAACAGCAGGACCTTCTGAGAGGCTGAGCTCCTGGGGCCAGTGAAAGCTGTGGGTGTTCAATACTGCTGAAAAAAAAAAAAAGAACAGGCAAATCTGTTTAATCAGTTTCTGGATCCCGACCTAACGTTGTCTGTTTGATAAAGAAAAATGTAAAAAAGCTGAAAAATCGTGTTCCCACGAGACACTTTTATTGCTACAGCAGTGCCTGATCGTTGGAGGTGCTCAGGCTCTACCCATTAGGGAGAGGAAGCCAGAGTGGGAAATGCTCAGGATTTAAGGTCTTGTTTTGATAGGAATTTCTATCATGGCCCTCAGAATAAGCAGAAGCAGAACTGATGGAGACCCTCTTCAATTTTCCAAAGATTTTATGGCTGTGAAACCATGGAAGAGGTTTTGTGCACCTTTCATTCTCAGTGAGATCCTAGCAGCAAAGTCTCCTAAGCCAGACAAGTATAGATAATGCTTTGAGAGGTGCAGACAATCTTCTAAATTAGAAACCTGACATAAGTGCAAAGCTTTTCTCTCATTTCAAAATGAGTTAAGAAATTGCCACATAAACCTTGAGAAAAACCATTTGCCTGTGAACAGGACACGAATGAGGGTGTTAGAAGACAATGTACTTCCAAATGTCTCTTGGGAGAGCCTTTATTTCTTGTGTGTTCTTTGTATCTACCACGGATGAAGTGATACAAAGGAGCAATACCTCTAAGCTTATCACATGAGACGGCTGCAGAAAAGACTCTTGACCAGGAGAGATGGGAAAATCTTGCAAGCAGCCACAGAACTCCAGAGTCTACAAAACCAGGATGCATGTGATCTTTATGAGACCACTGAACCATCTCACCTGATCATTATATGGATTTCTGCTAAGTAAATCATCAGGCTCACTCATTAGGTACATCTGATCAACCTAAATAGATAAATAAAATGCTCTGCTATTGGAATACAACATTCATAAAGTGATGGACAATGTTTATTTTTCCTAAAAATATGAAATACAGTATTTTGAAGGAAAAAAAAAAGCTAGTAGAGCACAAATGGTGACATGTTGAGGAAGAGCACAGGAGCAGCTGGATTACCTCGTGTGTTACCCTCATTCCTCTTCTTTCTGAAACAAGAATTGAAGGAAGTCACAGCTGCAGTAGCACTGTGGGCAGCCAGCAGACATCTGACCAATGTTCTTCTTTGGAATATGCTAAATAGGAGCAACCAAGAGAAAAGTAAGAATGTCTGCTCTTAGGGTCCACAGAATTGGAATCATAGGGGCTGGAAGGGTCCTCTGGAGATCATGGAGTGCAACCCTCCTGCTAAAGCAGGAGCAAACCTATAAGTAGGTTGCACATTACAGCTTACTTCCACAACTCTTCCTTCAGATCTCATCACTATTACTGAACAATTTTCTTTCAGCTGGTAACAAGGCTTAAATTCCTTCATAATCACACACTCTAAAAAGGTGACCATGTACGTATTCTGGACTTCCATCACGTGGCTGGGAGCCCCGCACACTCAGGGACCTTTGTTTTCCTAGGTGTTGGGGATTGAAAATTTCGCACCTAATGAGGACTGTAGTATTCTCTGCCTCAAGAACGTCGTGGAGAAAATTAATTAGAGCTGAATGGAAACGTGTTATTCAGGTTGTACTATTTTGTAATACATAATATAAAATGAAATATTTTGAAACCAAAACTCGTTTTGAAAGAAGAAATTGAAACATTTAGCTTGGAAATGTCAAAACGAGATGTTCCCACACTGTTGGAACATCCCTCCATCACTTACTCTTTTTTAAATGACATTTTCAGTGAAACCAACACAAGTTTGCAGAGCGGTTTGATTTTGACAGGGCTGTATTTTCCAATGGAAAGCTGTTCTGAGGTTTTCCAACCAGCTCCACCAGGAACAGGCGTCGCAAGATCGCAGAGACCATCCCTTTGGCAAACTGCTGCGTTAGAAGCAAGATTCTAGATGAGCACAAGGCACGAGGGGCAGGGGACACCCCAAGAAGGCTGAGAACCTGGTGCCTGAGTCACCCCTGGCTGCATCTCAACACATCCCGCCTTCTGCAGCACAGCTGCGCCTGGGGACTGAACTGGCAGTAGCAACTGTGGGGGATTTTAGGGGGAAGAACCTTAGTGTGTAGGCACAGTTGCATCTCTCAGCACTGCAACTTCCCTCTCTGCTATCTGAGTTTAGAAGCAACAGAAAGAAGAAGTGCCCCGAGTCTGGCGTAAGTCCCAGTTCAGGATGGCGAGCTTCTAGCGAGGCCCGGAGGCGGAGGTGGGATGAGCAGGAAGCAACGCACACCCTGAAATTCACTGATTTCTGTCCAGTGATGTCTGCTGGATGTGACTTGCCTGTGTGAGATGTGTCCCTCCCTCATGGATGCAGAGGAGAAGCTTAGGTTCACAGGAAAGGCAAAAATGGCAGCCTCTCTCAAAGAAAGAGAATCCCTTGACCTTCTGAAACAGAAAGGGAAAGAAAAATCTGCTCTGTTTTTACTGCAGTGTTAAATAAAGTTCCTTTTACACACCAGCATTTTCGAATTTCCAAGCAGCCTGACTAATATCAGAAGCTTGAGTTGGGCACAAATGAGTTAGCCTTTTTTCTTCTTCACTTTCCTCACAGGAATGCCACTTGAAAAAAAATTTCCTTTCTTGTTAATTTAATGATTACCTTCAAGAAGAGCTGGCAGTGGGGAAAAATGTAGGCAATAATGATCATGGAGCCATCGGTATGGAAGCAGGTTCTAGGGACAGCTCAGCAATGGGTCCTTGATCCTGAGCCTGCTTCCCCAGAGCCCTGAGATGCTGAGTGCCTCAGCGCAGGGCCCGACTGCATAAACCTCCTGGGGTGATGGTGTTCAGAGTGCTGGCTCCTCTCAGGCTGTGCACCTGAAACACCACCACCCGATCTCCATGGTCCCAGCCAGGGATAGCGTAGTTCTCTCCATGTGTCTTCTCCCACCAATGGAGAAGAGTGTTCTTCCGCCACAGGCAGATGTGGTAGGTGGACCAGTTAATGTCTTCAGACACTGTCAAGTGATAAATATTTATCATGTTTCTGTATTAATACATGTGAAGACAAATCCATATTTATGACACTGCAGAGGGAGAAGCACACTGAGCAAAGCCAGCTGGCTATCATATTCGTTAAGAACCGGCTTTGGGATCAACCCCAGCCCTCCAGTTGTGCCTGCTGCTGTCCTTATGCCTCAGAGCCATCCCAGCCCTCACCTGAGGGATTCTGTGGTACCTTTGGCTGCCACCATGATGGCTGTTGTGTCAGCCAAAGACACGACTGTCAGCCTCGAGGATAACGGGGAAAAGACAAATACATGACGGCAAAACTCAGTGCTGGCAACCAGCATGAGGAGAGATGGTGCTGGTCCGACCGGAGGGAACACCTTTCAAAGGTGGCTGCGACCAAAGCACCTCCAATACCCATGATGGAGCCCAGTCCACACTGAGTCCACCCCACCTTCGCGAGCAGCCCTCAAAGTCCGGCAGGGGCCCCCACGCCGCGGCGGGAGGTGCGCTCGCCCCGCGGGACGCCCGGCTCTCCTTGCCCGGAGCGCCCTGACGGCGGGGAGGCGCGGGCCGCCCCGGCGGGCCGGAGGAGGCGCTGCATCGCACATTGGCTGCGGGCCGCCCCCCCGGTCCGGCTGGGGCTGCCGGCGGAGAGTAACGGCCGAGCGCGGCACGACGGGGCGAATCGTTATCGATAGCCGAGAGCACCTCGGTGGCGGGGGAGCAGGCGGGCGGGGCGCGGGGCTCTGCCGGGCGGCGAGGTGCCGCTCCCCGTCCTGCCGCCCACTCCCCCACCCCCGGGCGGCGGGGCGAAGTTTGGCCGCCTCCTCGCTCCCCCGGCGCTGCCCGTGCGTGCGGAGCGCCTCCGCGGCTGCCAGGGCCAGGACAAAAGGCACATTAACACGTGATGGGAGACGGGCTTCATAAATGGGACCGGAGCGGGGCGAAAGGCGGGGGGGACGCCGCGGCCGGCGCCCAGCGGCTCGCGCTGCCTCCCCGCGCCGAGGCGTCGGGCGGAGGCGGCGGAGGAGGGCCGGGGGCGGCGGCCTGGGGCGGCCCGCGGCGGAGGGGCGGCGGAGCCGCTCGAGCCGGGCGAGCGAGCGAGCGAGAGCGGCGGCGATCGGAGAGGAGGCGCCGAAGGGAGGGAAGGGGAGGCAGCCGGGGGGAGACGTCTCCCACCTCCTCCTTCCCCTCGCCGGCACCGCCTCCTCGGCTCTCCCCAGTGCCGGGGTGCCCGGGCGGGGCGGCGCTCCCGCTCCCTGCCGGGGGTCGGCGCGGCCGGAGCGGGCGGGGGACGCGGCTGGTGCCGTGCGGAGGGTAAGGAGGGCGCGGGGCGGACGGGGCCGGGGGACCGACGCCCCGCGAACTTTGTTAGCGCCGGGCGACGTCGCCCGCCCCGACGGCGGAGCGGCCGCGGAGCTGAGGGCTGCGCCCCGGGCACCGGGAGGCTCCGGAGAGCCGAGGCGGGGGCGGACGGCTGCGAGGTGCCGGCGGACGGGCGGCCGTACCCCGGAGGCTCCGAGCTCCCGCTGGGGCTCCGCTGACCCCGGCGCTTCTCTCGTCCCGGCCCGGCGCTCCGTTCGGCACCGCTCCGCCGCGGCCGGGATAGACAGCGGCGGCTCGCGATGCTGCGGGCAGCGCTGCTCCGCTGAGCGGTGGCACCCGGCACCCGGCGGCGGCTGTAGAACGCCCCGGCGCTGGGCTTTGGCTGGGTTTTGTCTGACGTTTGGAGGTGGGGAGGAGGTGGGGGGGGGGGGGGGGGGGTGAGCAGAAGGAAGGGAGCGAGCGCTGTAAACTTCACGCGGGGTTTGTCATGTGAAACCTTCATTTGGTCCGAAACCCTCCAGAGTGACCGGAGGGGTTTCTGTTACGTGGGCATCTTTTTGTTCCAAAGACGTCTGCACCCCTCCTTTGGGAGCACCCCTGGATGAGGTATGTACCGAGCGCTGGCAGGAGAGAGCTCGTTACCGTGATTGCAGTTTGATTAAGTAAAATGGTGTCGGATGATGAGGTCCGGAGTTTTTTCTTATTGCTAAAATTATCCTGAGTGCTATTTTTTATGTGCCGGTAAATGATCACATTGACAGTTTCGGCGTCTTCTTTGAGAAGAAAAAGGAGGAGGAATGTAAGGCAGAGACAGGCAGCAAAATACTCCTCTTGAGTATCTGCAAGTTTAAAGCAAACAAACAAACAAAACACAGCGTAGTGTGTCTTTTTTAACCTGCTATAGGTGTGGCAGTGTTTCTGTTTTCCTTATGTGTATCCTCTTGTTTTCATTGTTATTGTTCACCTTTCCTTAAAGGAATATGGCATTCGCTGCTGGGGGTGGCATTGCTGCTCGCACGGATGGGGAAGGATCGGGTGTTGTGTGATACAGTATCGAACAGCAAAATGTACAGCCCTGAAAAAATTACTTGGAAGACCTAATTAATTCTTCCCGGATGACACCTCGTACCCACTGCTTTTCTCTTCTTGGGAAAGGAAAACAAGAAAAAATAATGTGTGATTGTAGTAGGGATATTTGTTATGCAGGCAGAGTTTATTGAATCAACTGCAAAAGAAATGAGTATAATGTCCTTAAACAGTTTAGAATATGAATGTGTAATTCCTGATTTGCTTGAGGTTAAAATTAGTCTGGTTGCAACCGGGAACATCTTTGCTTTATTATCCGCTGCTCTTCGGAATGAGAGGCACAACCATTTGAATAGAAGCATTTTAAAACAGAACTGATAAAAGCTGTAATTGTTGGGTTGAGCCAGCAGGCATCTATTGCCGAGGGGAAAAAGTTGGCAAGGGAAAGAAATGGGTTATTTATCCCACCAACCAGTCAGCAACACGGAAACTCATGGTAATTAAATGGAGATACCTGCAGAACTCCAGGTGGGAGTGAAAGTGGGTTTTTGGCATCATGGGGATGAGCCCGTGGGTGCCTTTCATCCTGCCTGTTGTTCTTTGGTGAATGGTGTTAGCTGCTTTGCATGAAAGACACCATTAGGAGTCTTCATGCTCTGCGGAAGGAATGGCATCTCATGGCCAACGCAAGTCTTTCTGTGTTTGCAGGTTTCTGATTGGGCAACAGAAGTTTACAAAGGGAATAACTTTTTTTTTTTCCTCTGGTCATTTCTGCCTTTCTTCCCTCCATGTGGCCATCCCCAAGTGCCGACACACTGTGGTTCCTCTGAGAATTTGGTGCTGAAAGTGTTATGTGCTAGAGGGGGAGAGCTCGGATGGCTCTCTTTCTGTTGGATGGAGGTAGGTGAGAAGGCTAAAGGCAGGGGAGAGCCTAAAACTCTGTATTTGCTCAGCATCGACCCCAAGTTCTGCAAACAAATCACCAGTCCCGGTTCCACAGGGCTGTTTCATGCAGTGCTTCCACTCATCCGATTTCTCTACTTGTGTGCTTTTGAAGAGGAATTACCTTCTCATGTGCCAACTTGGTGACCTCTCTCCAGCTGTGCCATCAGCTACCGGCATCTGCAGAATTCATTTTGTCAACAGTGATTCCTTTTTGCAGGTGTCTACGTTGGCTTTATCTCATTCTCCTTGTGAAACAGTAAATGGTTTTAGAGGTTTCAGATAGTTCTGCTGCAATTTCCAAAAAGGTTGGGCTATCTGCAGTGATGAACATTCTGCAAAACTACTCATCAACCACTTATGTGAGAATTTGGAGGTTTTTCTCCTCGGTAGCAGGAAATTCTCACAATCTGCTGCTGATGTATATATAATACGTACTGCAGGCGACCCCAGCACTGGGATTTGGCCAAGTTCAAAGCAGCTGTGCAGATGGACAGAGAAGACAGAAGGCAGAGGGAAATAGACCCTTTTAATCATAACAAGGCTGCTCTTGTTTTCCTATCTATAGTGGAAATGCATGCCAGCCCCTTGTACTTAAAAGCAAGCTTGCAAATGTGCCAGAATAGACAGCAACAGCATTTGTTATTAATGCAAAGTTAAGAATGTGACAACCTGTCTTCTCAGTGTTTCTCTTTATGTCTCTATTTCTCTCCTGACACCGTGCTGCTGCAGAACGCGCTCATCTAATTGCTGTTGGTGGGATCGGAATGTGCCCAGAACTTGGGCTCATGAAAAGTGTGTGGCTTTGTTAATGCTCACCGAAAACAGCAATGACCTGTCCTATTGAAATGGTTGTAATGACTTATAAATCAATTGCTCATTAGAAAGAACTTTATTTTTTCTTTTTTTTTTTTTTCCCTGAAAGTGCCATTGTTACCTGTGAAAAAGGGTCTGGTTTGCAGCCTAAGGTTGGATCACGTTTTGTTGCGATGTGTGTGCCTCGTACAGGGGCATTATGTTTATGCCTCCCTTCAGCGCTTGCATCCTTTTGTGATGGAGCTGCCCACGTCTAGATTACAGAGAAAACAGATATTCTACTCCTGTGTCAGCTAATAAGGTGTCACTCATTATCCTTCAGCTGGTGGAACGGGCTGCTTTGCGCGCTTCAGATGTTGTCTTGTTTGTGTAGATCAAGGCTGGATGGCATCCCATTTTACTTCATCCTGCGTTAACCTTTTTTTATAGCAGTTGTATATTCTTCTCAGGAAGGCATGCTTACTCACTACAAAGTACTGAGCAGCAGCAGTTCGTTAGGGAGTACTGCAAATTCCATTTCAGCCCTCGCTGGAATAATTTCCATATCTTGCATTTTAGGAAAGCTTTCAAAGTTTGCACTTCGGGGGGTTTGGGGCTCCTACGTTTCCTTTCTGGCAGACATGTGAAATGTGCTCACTGTTCTGAGAATTCATTATTTTTGCCCATTTCTGCCTCTGTTTACCACAGCGCAGTGCTGGATTCCAGTCTGTGCCCATGCCTGGAGAATGATGTTCAGTAGATTTGGAGTGTGTATATAGATATCCGTACATGTATGCACTTGCAAAGTAATTTTTACAGGATCTCAGAGATAGATGTGCTAATTTTAGATGATCCTTTTTCCCCAGGAAGGCTACGTATGGGAGACTTCAGAATGACTTTCAGCAGTTATCATGCCTGTAGTTCTGTACCCACACCTCTAGCTTGTCTGTTGTCCTCTGGCAACAGGAGCCAGAGCTTCTGTGTGACAAACACTACTGCAGTGTTTGTGAGACTTTGCACAGTTGTTCTTCTAGACATGTAGCTGTTTGTGTGCATCTATCCGTAAGCTTAGGCATATATATCTGTGCATATACACACACAAACGGAAATTCATAATGTCCCTTGATATCTTTTAACCATTTCTCTAGATACGATAAAACATTGGTTAGGGTCTCTGCATTTTGTTGTTCGGGTTACTCTGATATCAGATCCAACTGTAATTCTTTCTCACTTCTCTTTTTCTCTCCCTTTCTCTTTTATTTTTAAAAGAAAAGCATCTGCATGTTTCAAAGACATACACCATTGCCAAGCAATCTGGTGTAGTGGCTTAATATGCTGGCAAATAATTTCACAAGTTGTTTGTGTGTGTGAAGACAGTATATTTGAATATCATTATATTCAGATTTTAGCTACGAAGAGAGTTATCTGAGCTTATTTAAATTTTATGAAAGGCCAGACAGCTTCAGAAATGAAAGAACATGTTACATTTTTCATTGGAGTGTGTAGTTCTGCCCTTTACTTGTGCTCATGGTGTGGGACATGGTGATTACCAAAGGCTTTTCTGTCCCAGCAGGCATCTGAGCACTGCCTATGCTTGGTGGCCTGGTGGCAGTCTTTGGAGGAGGACAGCAGTAGAAGGAGCAGTGCTTCACAGTGTGCTGCTGACCCCAGCACTAGGTTTGTGCCATCCCTTGTGAACCCCGCAGCTCGTTTTTCTTTCCTGTGTGTTTATCCATGGTATGGTCATTTGGTTTGAGCATCCTGCCTGCCTTTTCACCTCTGAAGTATGGATCCTGTGCTTCCTTTTCATAAGGAGCCTGCTGTTTCTTCATGTCCCTGCCCAGATGGGCTCAGCTGGTCTCTTCCAGCCGTCCCCAGTTGAGTGCCATGTGTCTGTCTGTACCATCTCAGTGACCTGGCACATGATGGCTTCTCAGAGCCCTCTGCATCTTCTCTTGCTCTTTGAATAGAAATCAAAAATGGGCTTTAAACAGAACAAGCTGTTGCCTGTGGAGCAGTGGGTCTGTTCTTTCCTTAGGATAAGATCTGAAAATCCCACTGGGTATATCCTTCAGCTTCTGGAGGATCTCTGAAGTTCTCTGACCTCAGATCAGGGAGGTTTTCTCTCCTGAGTTTTCTTCTTCACCCAAACTGCTTCCCCTGAGTTGATCACAAAGTCAGTTATTTACTTTCCCCCAAATCTGCATCCCAGAGGCTCCTTGTCTTCTCTTACCTTTCCCTTGCTCGTTTGCTCCCATCTCACTTGGAGACATACTTTCCTCTTTCATTGCAGTTCAGTCACCACCATTTAACCCCCACTACCTCAGCTTTCAGCATCTTTGCTATCTAGTGAAGACTTTGATTAAAACTTATTTCTGCCAGTGTCTCACAGGGGGGAAGGAGGAGAGCAGTCATGCACTCTGTGTGGTTTATTAAGATTTCTCCCTGGAGCCTGATGTTTTTTTTCTGCCTTTCTAGTTCTAATCCATACTCTTTTAATAAAGCTCACTAATATTTTCTATCGCTACAAATTCTTGACCTTATTTCTTCTGCTCCAGCTATTATGTGGAAGCTGTTTTCTTGGAGCAGTTAGCTCTTTCTTTCTGCTAATAAGTGTGTTTTTCCCCTCACTTTCATGCTCCAGACACCAGATCTTTCTGGGGCCCCTTAGTATTTAACATTCAGTGCAATCTGGGTCCTTGAAGCCCTGCTCTGCTCTTTGCAGCTGCTTTTCTCTCTTCAGCTACGTCTTGTGAGCTGAGCTGATGTCTCTTTTTGGTATTTCCAGGAAATTGAGTGCTCAGTTCCCATCTCTTTTGCACCTTGCCAGGCTTCTCTGTCCC